CCCAATGCAGATGTCAGGCCTGCTTCCGACCCACCTGTGCGGGGGGCGGTATATTGTTCAGGTCTTTACATTACTCTGGACAACATGACGGGGCAGGATTAACCCGCGGCGCTGCAACACAGGTCCTGCTCCGCGTCGGAACTTCGTGCTGCCTCCTGTTCAACGACCTGCACATAGCGGAAACAAGACTTGGAAGCAAGCACACAACTGATGGCAGCCCAGCCATCGTGAGAGATGCTACTGCTCAGTCGCGGGCACCCTGTGTATCGATCAGCGTTCACCTCCAAGATCTTAATCTCCGAGACCTCTATGTCTGACACCCCCCTCTCTCATAGGATGACACGTTCCCCGTGCTCATCGTGCGACAACTCGCTGTTCCAATCCCCTCTGCCTATTCGATAACACATTCCGCGCTCATTGCGCGCGCCATCTCAATGCACTGTCCGAGACCCCCGAGTGCAAGACGCCAATGTCCGAGGATTTTTTAAGCCCTCCTTCGTTCTGAAGGTGAGGTCAACAGCACCGAACAGTGAACTGGAACACTGGAGGAAAAGAAAAGACTGTTTGAAGCTGACGCGCTTATCCTGCACTAAGCCTCCAAAACCCACAAAAAAGCCTCCCATCGCCCGAACGGAACCAGAAGTCACGGAACCGAAGTGGAAGGACTTGGCCGTGGTGTGCCCCTGTCATCCACCTCTGGCCCTGGATGGGAGGGACGAGCCACACCGCCCTCCAGGTGACGAGCCACACCATGCGACCCGCCGTCCCACAGGGCGTTCGATGCGCGGTGGGAGCGCCACGTTCGGTGTCGAACTCGAGTGGTCGGGCAGCGCGTGGGCGGTGGGACCGGACCCCGCGCCTGGTGGTCGTTGGGCTGTCGGAGTTGGTCCTCCTGACGAAGCTGACACCACTTTTGAGCACTTTGGGGCACCTAGACCAACGAAGATGCGGAACTTCGAAAGAATCAACGATCGCAGATAGAGATCCAATTCGATCTACCCAGGTCCGAAATCACCGGGAAGAACGGCTGCGAAGCACCCAAAGGCGGACCCGAGATGGCCAAGGAAGACTAAGGAGAGGCAACGACCAGACGTCTAATGCCCGAAGAAGTGCAGTTTGACTATACTTTTCCTTGGTGAAGTATCAAGGAATGTCCCTTTCAGGTATCCTAAAGACCATTCTTTTTGTCTTTGACTCCCAGGGTATGCCCATGGGTGGGATGGTTAATCAACATATACCACTAGCCCATGTTGCAGGAGCCACGGAGGAAGTCGGGGGTGCCTGTAATATCCACCATTCACGATGGGACTAGTAGTAATGCCGCAATGCCCTTTGTTCCTAGTAGCGATGGCACTCGTTACGTTCGTAGCTTCTTGCTAGGCAAATAGCGATTGGCCTCCAACCGAGCATTGCTATGGCCTCCACCGTGCGTAGCTTCGACCTAGCTCCTCCCCCCCAGTCCTCGGAGCATTTGGCCCACCGGGCTGCCACCTGATCTGGAAACTGGTGGTGGCTCTTCACGTCTCAGGAGTCCAAACGTCCTGTTTCTCCGAGCCGCTAGGCCGCTAAGCCGCTAAGGAAGGCACCAAAGGCCCACGTTGTAGAAATCCGACAGCGCTGCGCTGCGCTACTTTCCGCCCAAACTCTTGGGTTCCAAAACTCAACTCAAAAGAAGCCCTGGAGTTCCGGACCTCCTTCGAGTTTGGAGGATCCGAACGCGGATTCCTTCGGGTTTATCACATCGGCCACTGCGCGTTCGGCTTGTCGTGTCGGACCTGCGCTCCTCGACGCATGCTCGTCCGGTAGCTTGAGTGACCGGTGTATGATACGGTGTATGATGGTGTAGTCCAGTTGGGATCCGGTCTTCAGTGGCGTTGAGTTTGAATGCTTTACTGAGTTTGGACACTGCCAGCACCCTCCAACAGGTCACCAATTGAAACCTGTTAGGGCCTAACAACCCTCCATTTCGGAGACCTGTTGGAGGGTGCTGGTGGAGATTCACTATAGTCCATGTCCATATCTCCATTGCTCTGGTACTGATCGGATGTGTTCATTGGGTGTCACTGATCGAAACCCGGTCTCAACCAGAAACAAATGGATGTTTCTCCAGTCCCCATGTAAAGGAGCTCAGTTGCCGTAGTGGAACAACCATTTCTTTCTACCTGAAGCCTGAGTGACCTCTATTTTGGAGGATCAACTATCCAAAATATGATCAAACTTCCTATCAAAACAGAGGTCAGTCAGGCTCTAGGTAGTTATTCTAGTTGTGACCATCTTTCCCGGATACACATCACGTGCTGGCGCTGCTTTCGCTGCTTGCGCTACATCCTGCCTTCTCTCGGGGAAACAACATCAACTCACTGGACCGGCTCCGAAACAGGGCTCCGAAACAGGCTCCGTACAGGGACCCGAAGAGGGGTCCACCCTTTTACGCCGCACATGAACCGCGCCACGAACCGCGAGGTCGAACTGGGTCGAAGCCCGTCGACGGAGGGACCAGGAAAGGGGGATCTCACGGAGCGAACCTGGGAAGTGCCGCGAACGCGATTTGCGGTGGCAGTTGGAGACCCACAACCCTGGAATGAAATGGAATGAACAGGTGATGTGAAGAATCTTAGCCATCCAACTGCCATGTTTAAGTTCGCAGTTTACTTGATTGCTTGGGATGCCATTGCTCTGTTGAAGCCAGTTGAAGTCTCAACTTCGTACACTTGGTGTTGGAACCCAACTTCGATGCAAAACCTTTGGAAGTGCCCTCTGGAAAAAGAGGCGAAATCATTCCATGTTCATCGGGTTCACTTGAGTCTACAAGGCTTGGTCACCGATTCACACATGACTCATGACCCAAGTGCCACAACAGCGTACAACACTTCTGACCCCACGCTTGAGTCCGGTTTTCATTGCTTGCTCCGTCCGGTTTTCATTGCTTGCTCCGTCGGTCCAAAACAGCACCCGGACCGACGGAGGATCCTGCCGGTGATTTCTGCCGCCGAGGGCACTGTGGATCGGAACCTGTAAAACTTGGACCGTTGGATTCTTGGAACTTCTTTTGCGCTTCGGCCGTGTGGAGGTCCAGTGGCCAGCTGGTTGTCATGACCCAGACGCCACCCTGGACCCTGGACCCTGCGTTCAGTAGGGGGCCGTTCCCTCAGATTGAGGGGTCCGGACCCGAACCAATCCCAGTTTTGAGGGACCGGTCGGCCTGTGAACGGAGCCTCTAGGTCATTCCGTTTCGGTGGAAAACCAACATGCACCGAATCAGGTCCACCAACCGTCGAGGGATCACGACTTTCGGGGTCCCGATCGTCGACCGGTTCGCGTGGCGTAAGCGTCCACCGGCTGCCGCGAGAAGCGCTTTCACCGGTGTTCACCGGGGCTCCCCAACTGTTGGCCACGCGATTGCGCACCAGCATCCTCAGCGGCTTTTACGACAAGCCATGGTGTTTTGTTGGAGTAGAAACTGGGTGGGAGGAAGGACCTGAATTTGGAACCAAAATACCTTCATTTAAGAAAGACGTCTGAGTACCAACTGCCTGAGTACCAGACTTCCAAAGACAAATCGGGTCCTTTTGCGTCCGCAAGATCGCCCAAATGTGTTTCCGGCAGCGGAGGAGTCCTTCTGATGCAAAAAAGATCCAAACTCCAAACATACATTTTTCCTACTCCGCCTTCAGAAGAGCTATATATAGCTTTGTTCTTGTTCAGACTTCCACCAGCTGGTGTCCACTGTGTGAGTTCTAGCGTTCTCTTGCCCCCCAAAACATCACCGTTCACAACGATCTGCTCTCCTCCTCTCCTCCTCTCACCCTCTCACCCAGTCTTCCACTCAGCCTCTCTGCTCGACCTTCCCCACTGGGCCTTCCCCACGAGCCCGGGCGGGGCGCTGGTCCCATCGGACCGGTCAGCCCACCGCGCGACAGCGGCGAGCGAGTGGCCTTACGGGGGAGGCCAGGGGTGGTTGGTGGGGGTCAATGGGGTGGCAGTCCTATGGCAGTCCCATGGAGTGTCGAACGGTTCGGAGTGTGTGTTTAGAAGCTACTGGGCTGGAGGCCATCACAATGCTCGGTACGAGTACAGAGCAAGAAGCTACGAACGTCGCCAAGTGTGGCTACGAATGATGGTTTTCATCGGTGCCTTAGCGGTGTGTGTTTTGGGATGCCAAAGCCATCCATGTCGAGTAGGGCATGTGGCCCCTTCCTTCGGGATCGGCTTGGCGAAAGGGGAAATTCGGGAAGATGGTACAGAACGTGGTGAAACGAGGAAGGGTGTGGACCTGTCTGAGGCCAGCCCTAAGCTAACGATCGACTGGACTCTGAGTGCAAAAGCCCATCCAGGTGGCGACCCAATCATGTCAATGACCTAGGCCCTGTTGGACATGGCCGCAACAAAAAAAGGATTCTGGTTTGTGTCCTTTCCATCCTGGAACCCCACACAACCAGAACACATGCTTTTTCCAATGTGGCGCCACCTTGAGACCCTTGACATAGGAAATGGCTGGGACTGAGTTCCATCCATCCGGCATAGTGGTTGGGACTGGGTTTCCAGGATATTTGTATGTCTTTGAAGCGTTCTAGTAACTAGAAGCTATTAGGCTGGAGGCCATTACTACTAGGAGCAAGAAGGACGCGAACCGAACGGGGCTCCTGGCATCGCGAACCGAACGGAGCGATCAGACGCGAACCGAACGGGCTCCCGAACCGGCACGGGGGTCGCACGCGCCGCGGGGCCTGAGGACGGCGGGCGATGCCAACGCGCACTGCGGCGCGCGGTATTGTGATGCAACTGGAAAAAACCCTTAGCCTTGCGGAGGGTCATCATGGTCATCGTTCATCCATTCGGGGCGCCATCCACTTCCACCACGATGTTCTTTCGGGAGTGCAACGTCCTCATGTGTTCACCTGAAGTAGGTTCAAACTCAATCTTTTTGAGTTGACGCCGCTTCTTGTTACTACTAGCGATTGGCCTCCAACGGAATTAATTGCGATGGCCTCCACCGTGCGCAGCTTCTTGTTACTTATAGTTTTTACATGTTTTTACCCCCCCTCCACAAATGAGAGCGTGTTCTGCATAGCTCGTTTCTTCGATGTATGGCTTGGCTTAGGCTCATCCCACCAGGCCCCGCATCTGCAGAACTGCGACCGCTTCAAACCTAGCCACTACCTTCTGGAACCTCCCCCCATGGTATTCTCAGTTCCGGTCTTGCCATGTTCGGTCTCATTTTAGGACGGTTTCCTCGGTTTTCGGCGTGTCATCGCCGAGACCGGGCCGCCCGGTGACCGCTGTCTCAGCTCGACCCGTCTGGCCCGGTCAGGCCTCGGGGAGGGGAACGGCCCAACACGTTGGCAGCCTCGCGGCGCGCGGCCACGTGGCGTCGGCCGCGGCCGGTGCGTCGGGCGCCAGCGTCGGGCGGGTGTGCGTCGTGGTGACGTCCTTGTTGGAGTTCAAAAGGGGAGATGTCCTGGCATAGAGAACGCCAAAAGCTTCCCCACCTCGAGTTCGTGAGGTTTGAGAGTCCTGACAACCCTCTCGCTTTGACAATCTGATGTCTGGTGAATTCGCCCAAACATCAAGGCCCCGACAGGGTCAGCAGCGACGCGACGACAGGGCGACAGGACCTCCCCCCAAAAAAATGGCTCATACCGTATAGCCGTATAGCTGGAACCTCGTCCCAACCAGAAACAGTTCCAGATGGATGGGACGGAACTCCCAGTCCCAGCCATTTCCTATCTAAAAGATCTCAAGGTGGCGCCACATTGGAAAAAATAATCTATTCCTGGTGGGGACCGGGTTCCTGGTTGGGATCGGCATTTCAGATCACTCTTTGGGACGGTTCATGGAAAACGCCGCCGAGGTCAGCCGAGGTCGCCCCTGGCAAACTGGCCTGAACCTCCATGGCTTCGTCTGAGTTCAATGAGCGCAAGTTGATGTCTGCCAAGAGCCCAAGCAATGCAACACCGTTGACCGAGACAATCCTGCATGTGGACGGGAAAAAGATCTATTCTGTGAGCGGTTCAACGAATCGATCGACCCGTGCCTCAGAGGGTCCAGGAACTGGATCCCAGGTCACACACGATCCACAGGTCTCATGATTCACGTCACATGCATGTATAGGTCGACCTACATGCCGAGATCGTGAACATCAACGCCACCCGGATTCGGAGCCAAGCAGAGCTGCGGCGGCAGACTGCGCTGGGCACGGAACCTTGGCCGCCCCATCGCTTGGCCCGGTGGGGCCCGGTGATTGAATCGAATGACCTTCATCGTGGGAGACCCTCCATCCATCACCATCGGTCACCATTTCTTCGGTGGTCAATTAAAAAAATGGAAAAAAATACGTCATCTCACCGTCTCGTGGATGTGTGGTCTTTTAAGGTTCAGAAGCTTCCAGCTCGGCTGTGACAGTCAACGAGTTCAGCTGTTGACGCACGCCACACGCCCGGTGGCCCGACGCTACCTGTCTAATCTGAACTTCAGCGACTTCTCTGTGTTCCGAAACCGAAAAAATCCAGGAACGGCGTCTTTGGGGTTTGGCTTCCTTCGGCGGTTCCTTTCAGTACTGTGCCTCCGAAAGAGAAAAAAAAGGGTAAAAAACGACGCGAACACCAGAAACGGTCGGAGACCTCGGTGGTCGAAAGAGGAAAAACGACGGTGGTATGGGATCGTTGGACCAGCGTCTCACTCGCCAGCTCACTTCGATGCAGAGTAGAACCCGGTTCTCGAACATCCGAACGATTTGGGGTCCGAACGCCCTGGTCCAACCTCCTGTTCGTGACCTTTTCTTTGGAGTCCCTGTTTGGGACCTTTTGCAGGCCTGGTGGTGCCCAAAAAAATCCAGTTCGGTCATGTGGAAGGACCAAGCGGTCACCTGATCATTCAAAGAGTTCGGGTGGTGCTTTCTTGTCAGAATTCGACACGCAATAAATCACATGTTAAAAAATTGGTTGATTGAATCATCAGGTGTGGGCGGCACATGATGGAGGGAACGATCCATGATCGGAGGATGATGCTGTGATGGGCTGGGATGGGCCATCCAACTTGTGCCTCAGCAATGTCTATGAGCTGGGGGAGTTCTTCAATTCCACCGTTGCATTGTTTTGGGGATGGCATTTGACTTCGATAGGATTCACATGCACGTTCAAACTTGCAAAAACTCACAGCAACGCCTCCTTCACACCCCTCTTTTTCGCGCAGACAACACGAAAATGTGCGCAGACTCACTACCGGACTCAACAGAAGGATCTAGGGATCCTCACAATTCTATGAGATGGAGAGAATTTCAGAACGGCTTCCCACTACTTGCGAGTCATTAGATTTGTCTTTGGCCTTTCAAACCTCATCAATCAATCAGAACTTCTTCTTGTATGTGTGGAGTCTCTATCATTCCCTATCGCTGTTGTCACCATGGGCTATAAACCCCCGTGTTGGTCTCACTCGTTTCTATGCTGTTGACCATCTGACCATCTGCTTTTTTTGCATCGCGAGGAATGGCCCCGCGGGGCCATGGTGTCCGCGCTCCTTCAGTCGGTTTTCTTCAAGAACTCCTTGGGGATGTGCTTCTTAGACTTCAAGCCACCTGGAGGAACTCTGAAGCGCCGGAAGGTGTGTGGCTCACTGGACTAAGTCGACCCCTTCGTCCCTTGTCGGCCGACTGGAACAGGTCTGAAGTAGAAGTCCACAGACAAGCCAAAACCGACATGTCAAAAGGCTTTTGGAACATGTCCGTCTATCCCAGACACGACCTGTCTGGGACTGCCATATTTGCCGATCAATTGGGGTGGTGCCAGGGGGGTCAATGTATGCATATATTCCATACTTGGAGTATCCGTCTACAGCACGACAATGCACAACAAAATGACCCTCAAAGACCACAACCCCGGCGGATCTCAGCGTGGTTCTCTGCCGACGCACCTCGAATTCACATACACTGGCACACCTCAATTTCTCCTCTCCCCACCTTCTCCACTCCCTAATTCCGTTCACCCAAAAAAAACAAATTTTCGATGTCTCCATGCCTGCGAGCCCCAGCTCGAAGCGTGAAGGGGTGTCCTTTACCAGCATCTTCGTCTGTCGCGCGTGGGTGCCGCGCGTGAACGACACGCGCGCCACGTGTGCACCGCCACGGCGACCATGGGCGGATGGAGGATGGTCGGCACGAGGGGGTCGTCCGCGGAGGGGCTTGTGCGTTTCAAAGGTCTTTTTTGCTCAGGGAGGCTAACAGTTGATCTGCCTTCAGGGATTGAGATTGCATGCTAATTTATACATATGTAACAATCATACCAGCATAGACCCCAAAAAGCTTTTGTTGTGGTGGTGGGCGGCCGCAGCCTCAGCCCCTGCCTTGGACAGCGACGTAAACAGCAGGACAACAGAAAGACCAAAAGAGGACATGAGAAGGACAACAGAGGACAAAAGGATGAGGGAAGGAAAAAAATTGAACACGCCAAGGACAAAAGAAGGCCAAGCTGTGACCGGACAACGCCAAAGGACAACAGGACCAGATGAGGGGAAGACACCAAGAATTTGCCAAAAGGAGAACTGAGAACAAGAGGAGAAAGGGAAGCGAAGACAAGAGAAACCAACAAGATGATGGGAGGAGTGCCGGAGAAAGGCTGGCAGCCACAGCCAATGAACTCCTGGGGAGGACGGGACCGAAAAGAGGACATGACATGAGGAGAAGAGGGGAACATCCCCCCGCTGGGGTGACTTTCTGGAGTTGTCTCTTTCAAGAGGATGACAAGAGGAGGTTGGCCAGCGCGGCCAGAGGACAACAGCAGGACAAGAGAAGGACAAGAGCAGGACAAGAGGACAAGAGAAGGGCAAGAGAAGGACAAGAAGAGGACAGGACCCAGACACAGCGCCCGGACACAGAGTTCAGGGGCGCGGCCAGTTAGTGTGGTCAGCTCATTTTTTCCTATCAGAGAACCCCAACAGTAAACGGTTTGGGGAAAAAAACATCTGAATCTCTGCAGGCAGATGGGCTCTGCTGACTGTGTTCTTTCTTCATGGCCCAGGGAAGAAGACGTTCGGTGACATGGTCATTGCAAAGCATCTCATGGAGGTATACACAAAAATGCATTTCAAGCTGAGGAATGATCAGCTGGCCGATGGATGGAAAATCTAAGGAAAACACTAGCAGCATCTGGGTTTGATGTACTCAAAACATGCGAGAAACCTGAACACCTGGCCTGGTCCCAGAGCACGATTCATCGTTGGAGCGAAATCGGGGCCCCTTCTCAAATCGAACACGATAACAGGACAGCACATGACAGCACTGGTCTCTCGCGCCCGGTGAGATGCAGAAATCCGCTCGACCGAGAGGAGTCGAGGCAGCGCGCTCTCGCGTCCGGTGGGTGCATCACACATAGAGATGCAAGCACATGGCGGGTGACATATGGGCGCATGTTGACATCAAACACCTATTGCAAGGTCTAAGTATACATCAATTCTGTATACTACTCCTCATAGTGCCCTATCTTCCCATCTTCCCAACCAAATCCCGCTCCCGCCGAACTCGCGGTTCCGAATCACACCTTGAAGGGCAGATAGCGGCTGCAGTAGTTGAAGGCACGATGGGCAGTGGCCTACCAGCTCGGCGACGTGAAGAACCCGAATGACCGTGGGCGACCGTCGGTCCGACCGTGGGCGACCACCGGGGCGGAGTCGGTTCCGGGTGGATGGGAGCACTGGGGCACTGACGGGTACATAGGCCAAGCACTGGGGTCAAAGGAGAGATAGACTCAAGCTTGGGTGGGCTGGGTCTGCCTGGGTGTCTTTTGGACTCGTGTTCTGGGAGGTTCCAGACATACTCCCAGCTTCAAACCCGTACTCCCAGCTTGAAACCTTCATGAAAACCATCAGCTCCAGGTTTCTAGTTCAATGGGTCAAGTTACGTTCCCAAGTTCCCAACAGAGGATGGACCTCTGGACAAGCTTGCATTGCCGCTCCAGGCACTCAATTCTTCGCGGCACCGCAGATTGATGGACCAAAAGCTTGGAACACCATGGCACAGAGTAGAACATCCAAGCCCCAGAGTCGATGGGAAGGGGAATCCAAAGAACACCCATCCACTATCATCCACCATATGGTAAAACAAGGAATTGATAAGGATATCATCCCAAAACCCACCGCTCAAAAGAACCAAAACCCCCTGAAAAAACCGCTCCTTGGTCCCCAAAAATGCCGCCCTCGCGCCTCAGTGCAGCCATCCAATTCGAAAAGGATGAAGCCCGGGCGCACTGCCTGGACCCAGTACCTCAGTTTCTTTCTGGGATCCGATCCAGAAAGGTGAGGAGAATCGATTCAGCAGACGAACAAACTCCACAAGTGGGTAGCTTCTTGTTACTAGTATTCATGGCCCTCCAACCGAATAGCGATGGCCCATGGCCTCCAACCTGTTACTAGCTTCTAGCTACTAGGACCCCCTGGTGACGTCATTCATGGGGCCCCAGAGCCGTCTCCAGACGATCGTGAGTCCGATCCCTGGTTCAGATGATTCCCACCACCTGACCGTGGTTTTAAGGGTCCATGCGCTCGGGTCTGGAAAAAGGGGAACTGCCACTAGGTCTGCCACTTTCCCAACTCTTCGAGTTGATCTGGGATCCATGCAGAACATGAGTGATGGACCAAAAGTCTTTGGCAACGTCAGGGGAGAGACCTCTGAAAGCATTCTTTACAAATGGAGAGAAGGGACGGAGGAGAAAGGAAAGAAGGGGGAGAGAGCCAAAAAAAACCAGCTGCCCTGCCGGTGCTTTCTCCTTACGTCGCCACTCTCGTCCAGAGTCGGAACCTCCTCTCGCTCAGCGACGTCCAGCGACTCCCTTCGATGAAGCTGGGTGCCCCCACTGGATCGTACCTTTCCCTCCACCCATGCGCGTTTCCTTCCCACGCCAGGTAATGGCCTCAGGCGGATTGTGAGTAAGTGTTACTGGCAAAGCTCATGTCTGGCAAAGGTTTAGGAATGAAGAGATGTCGGATCGAGTGTCAGGAGATTCCCGCCAAGTGTCGGATCGCTCAACTCGGTGCGGTCTAGCGGTCTAAGATTCACGTGCTATTCAACCCTGACCGATTTGAGAACTTTCCCATACCAGCCTCTGAAAACTGCACAAAGATCCGATCGCTCTCTACTCACATCTCCACCAAATGCCCACCTCCACAGAAAAACCGCGCTCACCTGCTCCACAAAAAAGGCACCCTCGACTGGACGATGCTCGACTGGTCGAAGGTGGGGGCCGGACGGAGTGAGGGAACACGCGCAGCCAGACCTTGCCGCCATCCTTTCGCGTGGTTCGCACCTCAGCTGCTAGAACCACCCGCGGCGGTCGAAACCCGCCGTGCTTCGGCGGCGGCAGAAACAGCGCCGCTGCGGTGTTCGCGTTCGCGGCTCGCAGGGCGCCCCGCACGAACGAACAGAGCAGGCGCTTTTCGGAGGACAGCGATCGAAACAGAGATGCCAGTCCGGTGAATCACCGAGAGGGGAAAGAAGGCACCCTAAGAATCTGGGCACTGCTGGAGGGGTTTTGAGACCCCAGCGAAGGTGTCGGGGCCGACGCCTGTCATGGAGGGTCCAAGGATTCTTAGGGCAGGAGAATGAACCAAGGGCTTCTTCTTCTTCTCCTTCTTCTTCTGGATTGTTGATCGTGTTTGGCAACTGTAATTGAGCAGCAGGGCCATTCAATAGTTGTGTGAGTGATGCATTTGATGCTTGAAGCTGCAAAAGCGCTATATACCTGAGATCAAGATTATGGCTCTGGTTCTCGCTACTTATTACTTGCAGAGTTTCTATGGCTCTGAGCATTCACCAACTATCAGGATCCATCCACCAAACGGACACACACACACACACACGCGCGCGCGCGCGCAAAAACGAAGAAACGTGTCGACGTGTCACGGTTCGTCCATTCTCAACACCCAAACGCAACACGATTCTTTCGCTTCCCACGACACCCTGTCTCGCACCGTTCCGGAAACCACGGCGGAGCTCCTGGTGTTTCCACGGCGACCGTCTTCCGGAAACACCGTCTCCGTTGGAGACCCAGTAGGGAGGCGCTCGGTACACCCAAAGCGAATCATCCGTGGATGGAAAGTTCGAACGCCCCCTCAATGACTCGGAGGATTCGATGAACATCCGAAGATCAAAGAGGCGTTTCACTCCAGGAAAACCCATGAAAAGGATGACGATGTTTCCTCCACAAGTTAGGTCGTTTTCCACCTCTATGACTCTTTCAGGGAGGAACAAGTCCATTGACCTTTGGGGGGAGGGCTTTCAGAGTGACCCACCACTGCGGACGGCGCATGTTGTCCGCTCCAACGGTGACGTGTTTGTGCCGACGGTCCCGTTTGATCGAAGGAAGACCCTTGCGGTTCGACGGTTCGGCCGAGGGGCCATCATCCGACGGCAGGCCTCGATGTTCGTGGGGTTAATCCATGCCTGGGACGCCCCGCGCGGCGCGGCGCGGCGCTTCCGAACAGTGGCTGGTGACCGGGTGGCTGGGAAGTGAGAGGAGCCGGTAGGTCCAAAAAAGGGCCTCCGAAAGCAAGATCAAGGGGCGGTTGTGGATGTGTTCCGGTCAAACTGAGACATCTCTCTAGTTTCATACATACCCAATAGTCGAGTCATAATGGATCAAAAAGACTCCCACCGAAGCGCTTGCGCCCACCCATCATGCAGCCACAGCACCACTCGACGGAGTGGTCGTTCTGGTGGTGGTTTATAGACACCCCATGAGACCATGGTGTGGGTTGGGTTGAGTTGGGTTGGGTTGGGTTGGCTTGGCTTGGCTTGGCTTGGGTTGGGTTGGGTTGGGTTGGGTACCATCCCCCCACCTAAGACGGCAATGAAGTGAATGACTCTGGGAGTGATCCTGGCCAGTCCTTGGTCGGGCAGGGTCCCAGATCCCGTGCCGTCACCCTAGTCCGAGGTCAGTACCAAGGCTGACGGCTTGCAGCGGGTCGATTGGTCCAAAGATAGGCTGTTCGGACCATCCTGTCTCGGTGTCCTGGCTGTGTCCTGGCTGTGTCCACCCAGCCCACTTATGAGTCTCCGTTGGACACCGAGACAGGATGCTCCGATTGGGTACATCTCTCTCTTTAAAGTCTTTGGGGAGCTGCGGAGCTACTCGAAAAGGAGATGTACTTTACCTGGTACTCATCATGAATCATGATGCACTGATGGAGTCGACCATTTGGGCTGCGGCCACGCGGCCACCTTCCTAGCCTGAGCAACACATGAAAAAGACACCTACGAAGAAACGTCCCCTGCTCTCCTCCGAGCTCCTTTCGCGGCCTCCTCTAGAATCTGCAAGGCATACTTCCCAAAGTAGGGCTTGTTCCCCCTGGCCACCGCACTGCTGCAAATCCACCCACCCACCCACCCACCCAGCCAGCTAGCCAGCCAACCACCCAACCAACCAACCAACCAGCGACCGATCCACCTGTCACCAGAAACCCCGTCTGCATCTGAAGCTGTCTGTGACCCACCGTTCTGAAGACTGTCGACCGTCGACCTAGAGCCAGAAAAGACTTTGTCAATAAACGGAACAATCCAGGTTCATGACTATCATGACTCAGGTACAGCAACAACCTGACGAACTGATCAGAGAGCTGGAAGAAAATCAGGCTGCAAGCGGTTTCCCTACCTTTTGTGCTTCGTTTGTTGCGTGGTGAAAAGACTTAGTTTAGCCTGATGGCAATCTGCCAGGTGACACTTGTCTCATCAACCTGACTGTGCCGGAATTCAAAACTTCTACCATAATCAAGCATGGTTTGTTTGGTCCCTCAACGTCCCAAGGCGTCTTCTTCCGCCCAACAGACACCGTACTTCCATCAGCATCTCTTCCGCCCAACAAAAACTCTCTTCGGCGAAACCGCGCCACCAAATACCCCAAAACCACCCTCCAAGTCAGCCCTCCAAGTCAGCCCTCCGACCGCTCTGGGCGGGGAAACGCTCGCGAAACCCGCTCGGCGCCTCCAGGCGTTGCCCTTGAACTTCCACCTACCAAGCCCCCACACGGAGCACCGTCCCACCCGCACCGCGAAGCAGAGCCGCGGACCAGACCGCAGCCCGGACCAGACCGCCCGGTGGAAGGCCCGGTGGAAGGCCCGGCCGCCGTGGGTTTGGAGGCGAAAAAACAAAGGGGTGGTGTTTAGTCCCTAAGTGAATGGATGTTCTGGGCACCCCGACTACCTCCATGGATCGCACCCCTTTGTGACTGCTGGTACAGGATTTAGATCGATGTAGTCGTAATACTACATCAACTCCATGGAATGCTACTAACGATGGCCTCCAACCCCAAGAGCGATGGCCTATATATCACCTTAAAATCTTAACATGGTACGTACCCTTTTTGTATATCAAATGGTTATCCATGGTTACCATGGTTATGCGCAGTCTTCAGCTCCAGTCTTCACCTCACTTCAACCGGCCGGTACCATCCCCGACCTTCAGACCCTTCCGTTGGCTCCCTCCGGTCCCGTTGGGTGGATTCGCCGTCGTTGGAGAACCAAAGAGTCACTCAAATGTGGACCGGAGTGGTTGAATGCCGAGTTTGCAGCACCGCTCCGCACGAAGTGTGTTGGTATCTGTCCATCTCCCCTTCCTGCTAGCGGGGCCTATTGGTGTCGAAAGGCTTCACCGGTGGCTTGTGTGGCTTGCGCCACTTCACGTTCTGCCGCAGAAGAAGCTGGGTGCAGATGAAACACTGGGGAGGCTGCAGATGGGGCACACAAAGCCTAGGCAAGAATTGAATTGGCATCATATAGACATTTGATTGATTTAACTTTATAAAACCACCCATATGATGAGGCTTTACAATCCAAATGGGGTGGATCAGAAGTTAAATCAATATTCTCGTGTAATCAGAGCCGGTCTAGATCGCATCAAAAGGTGGAATACCGTCACTCACTACCTGGTCTCGACCAGAAGTCAGCTGGAATGTCGTGACATGTTGCCCACCTAGCAGAGGAGTGAATATGCCTCAATGTTTCTCGTTTCAAGTGCCGCTCTCCTACCCAGGGAGCCAATGGTTCACGCCCCTCTTCAGGGGGCTCCAACTCTGCAACCCGGGTCATTGCAACCTGCCCTAAGAGTCCGGGCCCGACTGCTATGGGAAGGGTTTTGAGAGTCCGGGCCCCTGCTATGGAGGGTCCGATCAGACTCAGAATGAAGTCGAATTCAGTCCACTCAAAATAGCCCTTGATTGCTCCAATGTATCAATAGAACCTGCTTCATCCTGGCTTTGGGACTCCTATTACCCCATATTGAAATTATTAGACAATATATATATATATATTATATATATAAAGAATAAGCAGCACCTTTTCTCTTATTCGCTCTGCAGCAAATGTG